GCAGAGGAGCGAGCCGCTCGCGAAGTTGAAGAGCTAGCTGCCCGTGAAGCTGCTGAGCAAGCCGCTCGTGAAGCTAAAGAGCTAGCCGCTCGCGAAGCTGAAGAACTAGCTGATCGCGAAGCCGACGAAGCAGAACTTGAAGCGCTCAAAACGAAAGCTACAAAGAAAAGGTTGCTTAAAAAGGAGCAGAAGCGCTTTGATGAACTTACCGAAAAGATCAACGCTCATGCAAGTACTGCAGATGCTGATGAAACAAATGCCCAAGCAGCCGCCGAGGAACAAGCTGCACGTGAGGCTGAAGAGTTAGCAGCACGTGAAGCGGAAGAACAGGCTGCTCGTGAAGCAGCGGAGTTAGCCGCTCGTGAAGCTGAAGAACAGGCTGCTCGTGAGGCTGAAGAACTAACTGCTTGCGAAGCCGAAGAACAAGCTGCACGCCAAGCCGAAGAAGCCGAAGAGGATGCAGAACTTGAGACCCTTAAAGCTGCTAAAGCGAAGAAAAAGAAGAAGTTTAAGGATCAAGATCGATTAGATGAACTTACTGAGAAAATCAACGCTCGTGTCGCTGCTACTGCTACTGCAGAAACTGATGATGAGACTGCACAAGCTGCGATTGAAGCAGAGCGGGCTGCCCGAGAAGCCGAGGAAGCTGCTGTACGAAAGGCAGAAGAACATGCGGCGCGCGAAGCAGAAGAACAAGCTGCACGTGAAGCAGAAGAAGCCGCGCGCGAAGCAGAAGAAGCTGCCCAAGCCGCACGCGAGGCTAAGGAACAGGCTGAGCGCGAGCGACGGGAGGCCGAAGCTGCTACATCTTCTAAAAAGAAGTCGAAGAAGAGCTCCAAATCTGATGACAAGAAATCCAAACCTGACGACAAGAAATCTAAATCTAGCAGCAAGGAAAAGAAGAAGGACGACGACAAATTTGATCTTGACAATGTGGACCTGACGACGGAACAGGCTGATGAGATTCTTTCGGGCTTAGCGCCGCCAAAGAAGAGCTCTAAATCTGATGACAAGAAATCCAAATATAGCAGCAAGGAAAAGAAGAAGGATGACGATTTTGATCTTGACAATATAGACCTGACTACGGAACAGGCTGATGAGATTCTTTCGGGCTTAGCACCGCCAAAGAAGATATCCGAATCTGATGACGAGAAATCTCCTAGCAGCAAGGAAAAGAAGAAGGACGACAACGATTTCAATCTTGAAGACCTAACAATGGAACAGGCTGATGAGATTCTTTCGGGCATAGCGGCGCCAAAGAAGAGTCTCTTCTCATTCTGGGGTGCCAAGCCCGCTCCGAAAAGCTCGCCACCTCCCGAAGCGGTTCCTGAAGCAGCTCTTGAGGCAGCTCCTGAGGCAGCAAGTGCCGTTCAACCCCAGGACTTGGCAGCAACTGAGATTACAATTGCTGAGCCAGCCAATAAGTTTCTGGGAGATACCACAATAGATGAGGCCACGCCAGCTTTTTCGAAGGCCGTCAGCGACGATTGGATGCCGAAGAAGAAGGTTAAAGGAAGAAAGCTCGCCGAGAAGCTCAAGAAGTTTGAGCCAGCGACACAAGGTGGTTTGGAAGGCGACCTAATCGACGTGGTCCCTAAAGCACTAACACCGCCGCCACCGCCATCGCAGCCGAAAGTTAAGGCATCACAGCCGAAAACTAAAGCATTACCGCCGAAAACTAAAGCATCCCGGCCGAAAACTAAGGCATCCCTGAGAGACAACGACATGCTTCCCGGCAGTTTTCCAATGACTGATGAGGACCAAGAGGCAATTCATGACGACGGGACTCACAAATTTGAAGTTCATGAAGATAGAGTTCACGCTGAGGAAGTTCATGATGAGATTTATGACGCTGAAGCTAGAGGCGAAGACAGAACTGCTGAACGCCTCGATATGGCCATGGCGGAACAAGAATCAAAGGGAAGCCGATCAAAAGACGACGATATTCATCAAGACGAAGACGAAATCGTTGAAATCATTGACCTCTCACCAGTCGTGGAAAAGAAGCCAAAAAGGAGTAAGAAGGGCAAATCCAGGGACAATGCCTACCCTCCTATACCACCCCCCGCGCCTCCTCCACCGCCTGCGGTACCCGACGCACCCCCAACACCCCCATCGCCGTCCAAATCCTCCAAGAAAGAGCGAGCCAAGATCAATCGCGATGGGAACGCGTCATGGGGTACGTGGTCGGCTTCAGCCACACCACTCAAGGAAGAGAAGTCATCGAAGTCTAGGTCCGACGCCAAAAGCCAAAGGAAGGAGAGGGAGGAAAAAGTATCTTCCAGGGGTTCGGCTTCAGATAAAGCCGAGCAGCAAGATAAGAGAGCTCTGCCAACTTCCAAGTCGCGCATGAACAGTCTTTTCCAAAGCACACCTCCTCTTTCGCGCTCCATATCAACACGGGACAAGCATGCGGGCAAATCAAGCTCAAGACGCCACTCCGTTGATATGAGCGGTGGACTTGTGTCGCCTCCCCCCGAAGAAACGCCCGGGATGACCTCGAAGGCTGCACGACTTCTAGGAGTAGACAAGAGTCATAGTAGGCGGACCTCGAGAACTCGCGCTGCTGTGGAAGAAGATGACATCGACATGGTCGGAACACGCGATTTTACGTCAAGTCCTGACAAGTCGGCGCGCAATCGATCAAAGGTAAAACGCACACTGTTAATCAAGCCTGATCTTGCTAACTCGAAACAGGCAAAGCGAAACGAGGATGCATTCATGGTTGATATGGAAGGCCCCGCTAGCGCGACTCCTTTGAGACGATCCAGCTCAAACGCCAAGAAGGGTATCTCTGGTCTTTTTGGTGGCTTCATGTCCTCAAATCCTCGCTCCGAACCCCGTCCTGAGCCCCGTCCTGAGCCCCGTCCCGAGCCCCGTCCCGAACCCCGCCGTCGAAGTACATATCACGCTACCGACGAGGAGGGGAGACCCGATAAGAGAGCAAGGCGCACACGAGGAATGAGTAACGTAGAGCCCGAAATCGACGCTGACCGCGAGGCCCGGCGCGCCGCTCGCCGAGCACTGAAGGAACAAGAACGTTCTGAAGAATATCGGCGTGCAAAAGACGCTCGTCGAGAGAGGCGTAGGCGTCAAGAAGAGGATGAGGAAGACGCTCGTAGGCAAGAAGAGCGAGAAGCTCGAAGGGCGGAGCGCAGGGCTGCACGAGAGCGTGAAGCGCAGCGACTCGCAAACGAAGAGGCTGATGCGAAAGAAGCTGAGAGGGCAGAACGTCGGCGTCGCCGCAGACTCGAAAAAGAAGCCGCAGCTGCTGAGGAGGCAGAGGCGGAAGCTCGTCGGGCTGCCCGAGCCGACAGACGACGTATGCGACATAGGGAAGAATCAGAAGATGAAGAGCACCGACGGAGACGTGAAGCTAGACGGGCTGAAAAAGCCAGTCACAACCGGCCTGCACCCATGGGTGATTATGTGTATCCTCGGGAAAGGTCTTCGAGGCACACAGACGACGAACGTAGCAAGAGAAGGACACCAAATTGGCCACACTCAGGCACAAGCTCGTGGGTGAAAGAGCATTCAGATGCGGGCCCACCCCCGGAGGACGGGCTAATGACCGATGCCCCTCCGGCCACGGATGACGAGGAGGCCCGACGTGCCGCTCGGCGAGCTGCGCGTCGGCGGGAGAGATCTGACGACGTGAAGGGAGAGTACGAGGATGACCAGAGACGAAGGCGTGCACGACGGGAAGAGCGTGAGCGCCGAGAGCGCCGTATGGGCGGGTCAGATGGTAGCGGGGAAAAGGCGCAGCAGGCACAGCGCGAATCGTTATTCATGGATACGACGCCCCGGAGTAGCTGGTGGAGGAAGCTTACGGGGTCATGAGACCTGCCTGGCGCAATCTTGCGGCGCGCAATTTAGTCGTTTATAATAGGCAAGGAGGACATGTTTTTGCTCAGCGTGTGTATTATGTTTCTTGGGACTGGACTGCATATATATACCCCTTTCGACATATTTTTGCGGCGTGCTAGCATTAGGCAGGCTGCGTAGACAGTCCTCTGTTGTGTACTACACTGTTGTCTGTTGGAGATAAGAGGTGGGTATCTAGACAACAACATGGATGGCCTAGGTTCAATCCATTGTTTTGAGTTGCATTTGTGGGTTTGTGGTGTATCGGATTTATATGTGCGTGTCTGTGGTGTGGCAAGGATGAGGGAGGGAAAGCAACTAGGATGATGGAATCGCCCATAGAGGTGAAGCTAGCAGCAGTGTCTTGTTGTGCCTGGACAATGGCATTTTATACCCCTTGAGAATTGGGAATCAGAGCGATGAATAGACAGACTCAACTATACTTATTCAGTTGGCCCGTTTCTCTCACCAACCTTGACGTGATGTGATATGAGCCAGCTCTCCATACTCTCTATATGCTGTGTTAACTCTAAGGTGCGTGCATGCCTGATCGGTTGTACATCATATCAGCAAATAGGTGAGATGGTCTTGTAGACGCAGGCAACCGCACAAGTATACAGTACACAAGCTATGACAACAACACACATGATAATATTCCAACAGGCATTTGGGAGGGTTAGAATATATGAATTATGATTTTCACCTGTAGTGTATAGGAAAAGCCTGTGAGCCTCGGTATGTATTCCCGTCACGACTAGAGGTAACCCATGCTTATATATCTTGTTTGGCAGTAACTTCACTTTGGAGTTGTACACGATCTACCCAGACTATCTCACAGAATTTCAGCTACATGCGTTCTGTTGTACAGACATGTGGGAATGTCTTCCTCATTCGTAGTTGCGCGAAGGAGAAGCCTATCTGCCACCTCTAACAAGATTATTTGCGCATCTGCCTGTCTGCCGAACACAAACCAAGCCCATAATGCAAACAACCGGCGAAGAGAAGGATCGGTAGGTGTAAGTGCTTAGGCGTAGGCGTAGGCGGGTAGGTCACACGCGTGCCCGCGCAAACAACGAAGCAACCCAGTGCCAACCATCCCTAGACAAGTAACAATACAAAGCAGAATCTGCAACAAAGCTCCAGTAGAGTAGTAGTTAACTCATTTCCCTCCCATTCCCAAGGGCAAGGAAGGAAAGGACCCGGGTGCAAATCCCGGCTGGTGCATATTCGCTTCATTTTTTCGTCTTTTTATTTAATATACCCTCCCCCATCCCTTCTGCTCACTTTTTGCTCATATTTCACCTTGAAAATTTGTTTGAGATGCCCAATATATATCTGTATCTACACACCTACGTAACTATTTCTCTTTCAACCCGCTAAGCCTGGTGGAAATGATATTTCTCGCCTGAGATGGCCGCGGCTGGACACGGTTTGCGTTGTTCTCCGTCGATTGAACGGAATCTTGAGGAAGTTTTGGCATTGAGCTCTTTTTCCCTCGATTGGATGCTACTCTTGCTCCGAAATGATCATTCAACACTCATATTATTACTGTCTTGGTAATACGATGTTCCTTGTACCATCAATTATCCTGCGTGGACAAATACCTCCCTAGGCTATCAACTTACTGCTAGCTCCCCTTCACATCCAACTGGCCCATCATATCCTTGCTTCTCCTTTCCGAGGTCAATCCTAAGAACAGTAGCGTCTAGTCAGCCACGCTCATCTTTAACAAGAAGGCTAAATTTATCCAGCAGTCAAAAAGAAAGATGCCTTGTTCCTTTGTTTTTCCACTCTATGCTCAAAGCTGGGCCTACTTATGACAAAGCAGCCGCAAAGCGGGTATATAAACCCCAGAAATATCACGCTCCTCGCGAATACCTACTTACTATACGAGACGTTGGCAACCAAATAAGACTAACTTCAACCTGAGCTCATATGACTAGGTAGGATTGTGGGATTTTGTTGGGGGTACAATCAAGGCCAGGGGGAGAACCCACCCAAGGGATAGAATATGTGCTATTGGGAAAACAAGCGCACAATCTGTGAAATTTGTGCCGCTTCTATCTCGGCCAAGACTAGAATCAGACACAGATGCTTCGATGTAATCAAGTCACGCGCGAGATTCGGTAAATGTGGGCGCAAGGACGGACCTTACAACACGCTGGTTAAACAGGGAAGATGCAAGGCGTGTTAGGAGACTTGAAACGAAATCTGCTTTGGGGGGAAAGACAGCGCGTAGGAGAGTAGGTTACCTAGGTAATCGAGTACGACTACAACGAATAAGATATGATGAGTATTCCAGATCGTATTTCATGCGTCTGTGGCCAGTGCTGACCCTTGCTATATTTCCCTCCCCGCCAATTTACAGAGGGATAAGCTATTTAAATAGTGGTGAAAACTGAATATGAAAAATATATTCTTCAGCCAGGTATTATCGAAACCCTATTCAAGTTATGCATCATGCCATAACCCGTCACTCATACTTTCTTCCCCCAATCGCCAAAGTACCTGGGGGGCATGATTAGTTATTATAACCATATATGAGTATTCATAGACTAACATTAATATACTTCTTATATCTCGGTCAGAACGTATTCACTGCTGTTTTAACACGCCTAGCACCGACGTTATTCAAAGATGACTGGAGTGCAGGAGCTGTGGGAGTGAAAACAAGCAACAACACAACAGGTACTGCCCACCACCTCAGCAGCTGGGACCTCCTTTGAACCCCCTTTTCCTGCCATTTCCCTTTACTGGAGGCGTGGTTCCTGTCGAGTGGATTTCTGCCAGGAATATATATCAGATCTACCCTATGGGAGTCGATGTAGTGGGATTATGTCTATATAAATGGGTGACGCCCCCTACATATCTGGGAGGTTCAGGAATCAATTGACTACTCTATTGAGCTATACCTACTACCTACCTACTTCCTGACTGCAGATATGTCTGTCTATTCACTCTGGAACCCCTATTTCCTGACAATTCCGTGATTTCCGGGAGCAGAAGATGGACGTTGAGATGGATAATAGGGGCAGAGGGTGGCCAGTCTCTTTTTTCAACAAATCGCATGCTCTTTCATGTACTGGGTACCGAAGATGGATAAATACTATTTTATTACACAATGTATTGTTGGTACCAAACCTTATACACTGGAGAGATATATAAGCATCACATCGCGAGACGGGTTCTGATATGGTATTCTGGGGTATAGGCTTGGCTCTTCAACATAGGTATTCCCCAGCGAGCTGAAAACCCAAGGCTAAAGAGGTTGTTACAGGTGATTTGAACAGAGACCTGCCTGCCTATCTCGGTGAGGCTGATCTGATTTTAGAATGTTTCGAGCACTGGGCGGTTAAATCCCTGTAGATAGCGAGCGGACATAAGGGTCACATAGAGCCTCATTCCCTTTTTGGGGGGGTTAGAGAAGACTGGCGATACTACATACGAGACGGCACAATATGGAGCGGACTGGTCTTTGTAGCTTGAGTCTAGGCAACGACAGTCCTTTTTTCTGTAGGTCGACCGAAACGAAACTATACCGCGCCGAAACTTGCTGTGACGAATGCCGACCGAATATGGCCATTGCAATTTACCGGCTTCGCTCAGTAAGTGACGCCGACGTTGACATAATCTGGCATCCCTTCGGTTGGATCATCACCTCCCTCCGCCGCCGAGCTTAGATTCGCTAGAGACTTACCCAGTCTATTATTACGGCTCGGCAGTGATATAGGTATTACCTACGGTAACCTAATGCCGGATATAGAAACTCGTTTCAGCGATGTTGAAATGGTTTAGCATAATACAAGCATGTGCTACTTACTACCTAAGTAATGTGCCACATACGGCGAGCGACAAAGAGCCGTTAATAGGTCTCTCCCAGGTTTTATACCCTGAAATCGGCTGTCAGTGACTTATCTACATAGTCCAACCACATGTACAGGTACTGTTGTCCAGGGGTGGGTGTATAGACGACGTCTTCTCTCCATGCTCCTTTAATATACTGTATTCAGATCAAAGTCTGAGAGACCGTAAATGAGATGTGAAGCTCATGATTCATTCAAGCAGGGCTCAACAATATCCCAAAAGGTATATTCATAATGTTGGTATCGATTAATAGTAGTCCAACCATCCATTTCCCGTTTGTTGGCAATCCAGCCCAGTCTTTAAAATTCGACACTGCGATGCTCGACGGGGCCTGATGACCCCTCGCTTAAAACCAATTCGTTCAAATACCGCAACGCCCGATACAGGACCATATTACAGTGTGATCTATGATCGTGGCGATCCAATGCCACGATCCCAACATATCGCCAACCAACCCTTTTCAGGTGTCGAGGAATTCGAGATCAGCTATCATGGAGGCTAGAGGAAACCTCGCCTGGTAAAACCGATTCCTTTTAATGATCCTGGTATACTTGCTCCTAGGAAACGCCATTTCCCCATCCGCCATCCTCGAATTTAAACAAAAAAAAAAACAAGCCATCCCCTCGATATCGTTAAGAGATGATTTCGTAGCGCATTTTTCAGGTCAATAAAAATATAGTATAACGCTGTACCGGGTAGAATGTGGCCGAATTCATGGTGCTAGGGGCTTAGGTCAAAAAGGTTGCCATGGGGATGCCCTATAGTACAGGATTTCGGAGGTTGAGAGGAGCCAATATAGAATATGTTTCCCTACTCTTGTTCTGTGTCGCTTCCCTCATCCCCGGAACTGTCGAGAGGGCCGTACTTCGCCTTGTACCTTTCAAGCTCGGCCATCTGTCTGGTGACGTGGTCGAGTATGGCTGTCATCGGTCCACGGAGATCTTCAAGTTGTTTGATAGGACCGCCACCCATAGCAGTGTGCCGAAGAGCTAAGGTCGAGACACAAGTCTGTAAGAACTAGTCAGCAAATTGTCACGGTTATATGGGAATGGACATCTTACCTCGATGCGGCTCACTTGGTGCTCCATGAAATTGAATAGAAAACGGTCTGTGACCTCGCCACCACGCTGCTTCATACGCTCGAGGAGCTCGGTTTCAGGAGGCTGCAAGCCTCTTCCTGACATCTCTTCTAGAGAGCTACAAAGCATCTCTAGGTGCAGACTAATTTTCCATAGGGACCAAATCATCTCTGGATCGATGCCAAGTTCACTCCCAGGCACAAGTCGTGCAGGCTGATCGGACAGACCGGCCGTCATCGTAGGAGCCATGTGGTAATCAATTCTGCAGGCAAGCGCATGTGGGTAAAGAGAATAGACATACTCGGGATTTTCGAGTCCCTTCAGCTTCCTCTCGCCCATTTCCTTGACCTCAAAACCTTGAGAGGTGAGTGATTTCAATTCCTTCCGGATAGCCAACGCAGTTGCTGTGTCATCAAATGCATCGTCAGAACTCATAGATCCAGTTCGATCGCTTTCTTGGTACGTCTCGAGGCACCGCTGAATTTCGGATATAAAATCTGCAGAAACTGCAATCTGACCGCCATCGGCAACTGCAGAAATACGAGAGGCTTTGTTAACCATTGGTCCAAAGTAGTCCATACGGCGAGTAACAGGGTCGACCTCGGCTACCGGCTCTCCATAATGAATGCCCATTCTGACAGAAAGGCCCTTGAAGATCAGGTTGTTATCTTTGTCCCAGATTTCCTGACAGGAGACTGAATTGAGCACTTCGGACGGCCAATTCACCTCGAGGAGCTGCATCTGGACGGAGAAGCACCATAGTAAGGCGGATGTTGCAGTGGGGAAGGATACCATGAAAGCATCGCCTTCTGTCTTAACTTCATATCCACCAATTCGTCGGAGCTGCCGGCGCATGACCTCGTTGTGAAGCTTAATAGAGGACCTCATGGCATCAGGATACATCTCCCACAGATTAGTAGAATTTTTGATATCTGTGAAAACGATTGAAGGTTTATCGATTGGTGCGGGCACCTCGGCTTCAAGTCGGTGCAAATCCGAGTCCAGAATCCCACCCTTTGGTTTCTTGCCTCGCTTTGGCGGGTATTGAAACTCGTCCGGAACACCTGAGGGGTATAGAGACATGCTCTGCCCCCTATGCAGACGTGTCGATCGCTCTTGTCGGCGCTTAAGATCGGCAACGCTAATCATCATTACCATAATCTTGCTAGTTGAACCATAGGCCATAGCAAGATCCCGCAGCTTCTGCGAAGCTCGCATGAGGTCACCTCGCTCGGACCGTGAGACGTCAACAATCAGCGCAGGTTTGAGATACTCCCATAG